GTTTAGGATGCCCCTTCATCACCAGTCCAAGACCATGTTTAATAAAAAAATCTTTGCTCAAGATGGGGAAGATTAATTTTCCTACTGGCATCCTTGAGAAATTTCTCTTTCAAGAAGAACCTGACATTGCATAGTATTTAGCAGCCTCAGGGTCATTTTTTCATGCCAAAAGATTCAGCTGATAATGCTTTTTCCTATGCAGTCATCACTTTAGATTGCTGGCTGAGTCTTGCACAGTCTAATGCATCTCTAGAAAATCAAAAATAAGCCCTCAGTGTTTGTAAAAAATTAGAAGTGTAAGAAGTACTTCAGCACCATGCTGCATCAATATGTTCTCATTGGAACAAAACCATCACATTCAAATTGCTTGTCCCAGTTAGAGTAGATTTATTGACTTTATAGGACTTGCATTTGTGGTGACGTACTATCCCATTAATTTTAATGGATCTAATTTAGTTGGTAATAGTAATTTGATTTAGGCTTCAGTTCCTTATTAACTCCCTCTAATCCACAGTCCGCAACATTTGTTGGGTGTGTGAACAGGATACATATTGCAAAGGTGGTGGGTGGGGGTGGAATGAAGAAAAATGCAGATTAGTGATGAAACATAATCGACAGGTTGTTAGATACTATGTTTTGGGACAACCTTCTCCAACTTTTGTTTGGGGTGACAAATGCCACCATTTCCAGGCAAGCAGTTGAATTGTGCCGTTTGTAGTCCAATGCATCTGGAAACTGTCAGGTTTGGGAACACAGCTTGTAATACAAAAAGGGTCACTTGAGGGTGCATTGGGGCTGATTAAAAAGTCCCCAAAATCCCAAATTTTGTTCTTCTTCTTTAGATTTTATTTTGGAGATCCATACACATTCTATTTATCCCAGAATATTTTCTATCAGCTCCTAGAACAATCAGAGACTTTTAAAACCACTACCCCAGGTTGGTTTATTTTAACCCAGTATAAAAGAAGAAAGCATAGAAACAAAATCTGGGAGTTTTGTATTAATCTGAATGTGCCCTGAAAGGAGCAAACAACACATGGTGACTTTGGGAGTAACATTGTCAACCACAGGAAGACATACCATCTCCATCTAGGATTTCTTTTACAAACTTTACAAAGGTTAACTTAACTATTCACTTTAGGTATTACACATTTCCTCACTAACAATAACATGAACTAACAGCCCTTCCAGATGGGGTCTGCTTGAGCAATTTGTACAACAGTTTTCTCTGCCATTTCATGTTGCTTCATTTCCTTTTTTGTCATTTTCCCTTCCAAATGCTTCCAAATTTTTAACTTGACTTTCTTTAAGTTTCAGCTAGCATAGTTCCTAAGAGTTGTGCATGATCTGATAAGGCTGTGATGTCAGATGATGATAATAATAGTGATAATTATAATTATAATTATTTCTCACCTGCCTCTCCCTATGGATCGAGGTGGGGAAGAACAACAAATTAACAAATACATATCAGTTTAAAACACACATCAATTTAAAAGAACAAATAACACATATACAGATTAAAACAACCCACATTTTAAAATTCATCATTTAAAATTCACAATTTAAACATCATCTGCATAGGTTTACTGGAAGAGACTGGTCTTTAATGCTATTTTAATTTTGGTCAATATCTTCAGCTGTCAAATCTCTTCTGGCAGGTCATTCCACAGTCTAGGGAGTTTAAAGCATTCCCTTTTTTGCCTGATCTGGCCACGGGCTGGGGCACACATGAACAAGGGGAAACAGATTTTATCACACTCGAAACAGTCACAAGCCATCGCCATGCTGTCACCTGACCACAACCTGTCCCCAAGCAGCATTGAACCGGCTGATTTTGCTCAGCCAGAAAGGCTCTGTCTTTGAAAAATCTGCAGGCTCAGCACAGCTTGGGGATGGGTGGTGGTCAGGCGACGGCATGGCGATGGCTTGCCAACTGTTTTGAGCGCAATAAAATCAATTTCCCCTAATTCACGTGCATCCCCAGCCTGTGCCCAGATTGGGCAAAAAAGGAAATGTGATAAATTCCTAGGGGTGTCTGAAGAAAAAGTCCTCTTTGCCTCCCTCCTAATTTTATTCTTGTTTCCAGTGTGCAACATGGACATACGTATAAACAATAATAATTTTCTGCCTTTTCTATCCCATCCTCCTTCAATTCAAGGACTTTTCTACACTCATTTTCCCCCCGTTTACATTTCAAAGAGGTCATTGGTTTTCACACAGAGACACCAAACCTTGGTGTTTCCTTCTGTTGTTTTTTTTTTTTTAAAAAAAACTTTTTAAAAACCTCTAAAAACTAATTTGGCAAGCTTTGATGGTATATTGCTCTTCGATTTATCCACTTTGCCTCATGCTACTGGCTTCTCCTCTACAAAGTCAGCCAGGGCAGCAATGAGCTTTTTTTCTTCCACCATTTTTGGGGCTCATCCACCAACACCAGCGATGAGATGAGAATTTGTTTTGTTGGAGATGATTAATTTTTTTTATTTTTTCAAAATCAAAGTTGATCCCCCCCCCCCGTGCACATGCCCTACCCCCCCCACACACACACTTTCTCACATGCCACCATCACATCTTCCTCTGTTCAGCTTCTCTACCTCCCTCTCCCTAAAGCACATGGAATGTGTCTATAGTACTATTCAGTTTATAGCAGTGAGAAATCACTTTAACTGCCATGGGTACATCCTACAGAGTCGTGGGATCTAAAGTTTAAAACAATACTTAGAATTTTCTGCTAGAGAGCTCTGGTCCATTCCACTGAACTACATTTCCCAAGGCAGCCTGATGGAATCTTTAGTTTCTCTTCTGGCCCCTTAGGAATTGTGGATTAGGGGAAAGTTGCTAATGCATTCTTTGAGTAAATTCCAATTGCTTCACAAAATTATAAATCCCAGGATTCTGTAGGGTGGAATCATAGCCATAGACATAGGAGTTTATCACACAGGGAAAACTGGAAGTTTAAATGGGTAAGAACCCGTGACTATTCAGCATATTAGGAGCAAATGCGTGAACGGTTTTCACACAACGTTGTGCACAAACCACATAAAATCGGACAAGAAAGTGACATGAACCAGCAAATAGGCATTTTTGGGGAAATAATGTGAATTCGTTTCTGTTTCGTTCACAAATTCACTTTTTTTGCACAGTTGCTGTAGTGTGAAAGCTACTTGTGGTTTATTCACGGGATTCTCCCTACTTTTGTGTTTGTTGGCAGATTGCCTATGGTTCTTTGGGGTGAGTTTAATTCCAGTGCTGCAGGGCAATACGAGGCAATACTGTAATACTGCTTATAAAGATCCTAAAATATGTACCCACCCTTCTTTGTAGCCAGAGCTCTTAAAATAAACAGCTGATGCAAAGGCAGAGAGAGAGAGAGAGGAGAGTGAATGAATGCTTGCCTCCCAATCTGAGTCCCCATACTCTTCTCTCTCTCTCTCTCTCTCTCTCTCTCTATCCTCCCTTCTAGATAGACTTGCAGAGATCCCCAAACTGTACCCTTTAAGGTATTTTGGACTTCAGCTCCAAGAATCCCAGATTATTGGTCAATGACCATGTTGACCAATAATCACACATGTTTAGTGCAACTTCCGCATGTATATGTCATTATCTGAATGCCCACCATGAAGTGGTGAGTAGATACTTTAGACACCTTTGACAACAGACACCTTAATTGTCTGTTGGGGAAATTCTAAAATATGATGCATTTAACAACCATTAAAATAGAAGTGGAGAAATGTGAGAAGAGTGAGTGAAAGGCCTTAATATTTGTATGTATGTTACAAATTACAGGGTGTCAAGGCTGTCATTTTGAGGCCAAAGTGTTTGCATGTCTCTCTATGAGTCTATGCCTATGCATTTCTTTATATTTCCCTCCTTCTGTACCACAGTGTCAACCTTGAATGATGCTTATCCCTCAGTGTTGTTGCTGTTTTAAAATTAAAGGAGGCTTTGGAGAGAAAATGAGGTTTGCAAAACATAAACATATTGAAAACAATAGCAAAATCTAGGGGAAAGCAAGAGGATTGGATACACTCATGAATAATATCACAGCCCAAATTACAAGCAAAGACATCTACAAATGAAATGAAATGTGCCATTCTTATGAACCACACAAGCTGAACAGCCTTTCAAAATATTGGAATTTCTTAAAAGTCACTTGTTAGAGCAAAAAGTCAGAAAATTGTGGGGATGCATTTGAAGTAGCACAATGCCATTTGGATAACCGGGGTGGTGGTGGTTATAATCCCTTAGAATACCACCAATAAAGCAACTCAAGTGGTTATCTAAACAGAACTTAAAACAAGTTTTTGGACTCTGACTATTAACTTATTCAGATAGACTTTTTTTTTACAGTGGACTTGGTATATTTGCCAAAGTTTGGTTCCAGGACCCCCCATGGATACCAAAATCCATGGGTGCTCAAGTCCTATTATAGAGAGTGACATAGTACAATGGTGTCTCTTTTATAAAATAGCAAAAATCAAAGTTTGCTTTGGAAAAAAAAATCAAAGTTTGCAACAACAACAAATAAAAGGAATGTAGCAATTTACATTAACAATTTTTTTCAAGGCATGGATAGTTGAATCCATTGATGCAGACTCTGTGAATATGGAAGGCCAACTGTACTAGCATTCCAGGTTCTGTAAAATCACAATTTTTGAAATATCAGATTTGTTTTGAATACTTGGTGAAAACTTTGTAGTATAAACCAAACTGACATGAAATGTGCAATAGATATTACTGCTTCTAATGGTAATCCTGTGGCAAAGTGATTAAAGAATTATATTTCAAGAGTTGCTGAGTGCAATATAGATAAATCTTCAGGAACTTCACGAAATCATGTACTTTCTGGAGGAAGCAGCCATACTGATTTTGTTGTGTGTCTTCAAGTCATTTCTGACATATGGTGACCCTAAGGCAGACATATCTGGGCAAGATTTGCTCAGAGGGGATTTGTGTTTGCCTTCCTTGTGTGACTTGCCCATTTACCCAGTGGGTTTACATGGCTAAGCAGGGATTTGAACCCTGATCTCCAGAACTGTAGTCCAATCAATACTCAAACCACTATGCCACACTGGCTTTCATGTCTTTTCTTTCTTTCGTTCACAATAAAAACCTCCCCACCAGTTGAGGTGATGGCAGTGCACCCTGGCAGCTTCCTTCTTCATCTGGAATAGAATACTCCAGTGGGAATAACCTTAAGTCATTCACCTTATCTGACTGCCAAAGACCTCTGAAAAGTCAAGGATTCTAGCCAAGGTCCCTAAAAATTTCTCCATTACCATTGGTGATTGAATGCCCAATAAAAACATTGGAAGGGAGAGATTTAAATCCCAATTCTATTGTAAGGTACATTGTCAGAGCAATTGCAACTCATGCTCTTTAGAAGAATGATTTTTAAAAATGTCCACAGCTCTCTACTGCCCCCACCAGTATCAAATTGGCTTCAAAGATAAGCAAAAGACTCCAAAATTGTCCATGCTGCTTCTTGCCTGGAGACAGAGCAAAGATGGGGAAAATGTCCTTTTGGGCTTCAACTCCCGAAATCTGACCTGGAAGGTGTACCCTGCAAAGAATGGATACATATTCCTTCCTTTCACTCTTTTCCCACAGAACTCAAAGTGTGATGTAGATACTTCATGTAAAGGTCTCTATAAATCAGTTTCATGTATTGTCCCACCAAACCTACCATGAGGTGGATTTTGTGTAAACCAGACCACCAAATGGAACCCTTTTTCCAAATGGAGCATGTGTGCTTGGGTTATGAACTTATTACACCACTATTTGTTGCTTCATTGGTGAAGATTTTTGACATCTAAGGCCTCTTACGGTTTGGTACAACAATGCCCCTTCCCATGTGAAATAATCTAATGTTAACATCTTCATCACAGACCATTCTCAGTAATTGTGGTATGGTGGATGACCAGAAGGGAAACAAATCTTTCAGTAATGCCCCCTTCCATTGTCAAATGTGAAGAAGGGCATACCTGGCATTTGGCAAGGAAATATCTCCTTTTGCCACATTTTTAAAACTGTTGATGTGCTGTTGTACTCTTTTGCCTCAGTCTATGATTATTTCTCTGTCCTAGGTTTCCTTTTTTGTAATGTACTTTGATACATTTAGTATTTATCAAAATAAGTAATTATTAAGCAATTTTATTCTATTTTCTATTTAAAATGTTTTAAATTAAACTGATATTAATATTCTATTGCAATTCTGCTTATTTTATTCTGTTTCCCCCCTGTAATTGATCTTACAGGGTGTTCAGAGCCAGCATGGTGTAGTGATTTGGGTGTTGGACTAGGACACTAGGAGACCAGGGTTCAAATTCCTGCTCAGCCACAAAAACTCACTGAGTAACCTTGGGCAAGTTACACTCTCTCAGCCTCAAAGAAAGGCAAAGGCTAACCCCTTCTGAACAAATTCTGCCCAAAAAGTCCTGTGATAGGTTCACCTTAGAGTTGCCATAACTCAGGAATATCTTGAAGGCAAGAACATCAAATAACTGGGATGTGGTAATTTACATTTGTTGCCATTTAATGTTTGGTGTGAAGGATTCACTTTCAGGAACGGGGAGTATTTGTAGATGGACAAGGGGAAACTACAGACTTTATGCAGGAGGAAGTCTGCTGGGACAGGCAAGGGGGGTTCAGGAAGGAGGAGTCGCCATTGGTTGCAGGTGATGTTTGTCACCATCCTGAAAATTCACTTTGCTCTCTTAGAAATGCAATCCTGGGGATCCGTGGGTCCTGCAGCAACCACACGCCATTGAGATACATCCCCCAGGATGTATTAGGAAGTGATATAATCTCTTATTCCCTGTGTGTGCTCAGGGTCACCCCAAAATGTTAGGACTCACTCTATGCAACGTGAAGTAATGCACACATTACCATCTAAAGGAGGAGCTCCACAAAGACCATTATGTCCAGAGTCTAAAATTGCCTAACTATGCCACTCCTCAATCCTATGCCTTGGGTTATGACCAACATATCATTTTTACATATCTCTCTGAGGACAGCAGATATGAAGAGAGATAATATTCTGTTTCCTATCTGCTTGGTTTTCTGCTGATGCTTTCCACTCTCAATGCTGCAAACGTGCTTACCTAGCCGTCTCCAGATTGTCTAGGGAGAAATGTTTTCCTATAAAACAACTCATCTCCATGCATTATATAAAGTTTTAAGTTGTGAAATGAGGATAGACTCATAAATATCCTGTTGTAATGATTGCATATACAAAAAGGGACACGTGCTCATTAAAAAAGAGGGGGCATTATTCAGTACTTCCAGATAATGAGTACAATCAGGAATTCTAGAATTGCCATTACAGTCAATTTGCCACCGGCTGTGAAGCAACACAGTAGGCACAGTTTGCACAGATTAACACTTGTTTCTTTTTGTGCCATGTTTTTGTGCTTGAAAATTTGATAAATGATCTGAGAACAGACAAGCTTTATGGTCTCAAAAGCAAAATGTTGCTTATTTTATAATGTTGGCATATACAAAACATACACGCACTTCAATCTTAAATATGTCTACTCAGACATAAGCTCTTTTGAGTCCTAACATACTAAGGTACTCCCAATTAATTCTGTATAGCAGGTGTGAGGAACATGTAACCTCCTGGTGTTGTTGAATTCAAACTCTTATTAGCCATAGCCAGCATTTTCAGAATCAATCAAGGATGATAGGAGCTGTGATACAGCAATTGCGAGACCACTCCATAATGGATATATATAGGACTGAAGTGTTAATGATGTTCTTCTAAACTAGGACAGATTAATCAAATTACATAAATAACTAGTGCTTCCATACCATACAAAAATCAGCTGTATATATGAGTATTCTATAACTGTGCTTCCAAGTTCCACTGTTTAAAAGTAATAGGTCAAGTTAGCTGTAATGACTTAGACCCATTGATTTTTGGAGGGTGACTTTTCCTGGGTGAGATTTCAAATGGCAAAAGTACCAAAAGATCATGATAAGAATGCTAATTTGTGAGAGGAGTTGAAATATTGCTATGGAATCCATTCTGCAAAACGCTTGTATTAGTAAAAATTTCAGCCACCCCTGAAGTACGGTAGCTGGGATTTTGATTTACTTTTAAATCAAAATCCAATGAAAAAATGTTCCACAGAATTTCCTGAGAATGTAGATTTGGAAATTTCAACAAGCCCCTTGATACAAACCATATGAGATTTCTATTTATTTATATTCTATCTTTCTCCCATGCATCAGACAGAGGACAGCTATTTATTTGTATAGTAGTGTCAACAATATGAAAAGAATATATTTTCTTGGATTGGAAATAATTTGGTGTCATAGTCTAAAACTTTTTTTAGCTATAATGTCAATAGAAGAAGGAGCTCAGTTTCCTAAGATATATACTATACTAGTAGGCATGGTCCAAAGCCTGAAGGGTCATATCATGCAATTTGGAGTCCTCCAGAACTCCAGAGCACAGTAGGTGTGTCATTGCAGCCACCACTTGGCAGCCAGAAGTGATGACATGTTACTTCTAGTACTACTGAAAATGTTTGAAATTGGCATTGTTTTTTTGGATGTAATCTTCAAAATGCCTGCTTATTTGACTGGATCTGCACAGCAATCATAATGAAAGTGGAAGAGTGCTGTGATAGTGAAGTGGATTGTGCCTCTTCAAACTAGAAATTGAGTTCCAGATAGGTAAGATATATTAATGACATTAGCAATTGTGTGAATGATGTCTTAAAAGTAAAAAGTAGGTGCAAGACCTCATCTAGATTGGAATCATGGAGGAAATTGAAGGAAGGCTTTAACCCAATGTGGCTTCAGCCTGAAATTTTGATACCATTCTTTTTTAAAAATGTGGTATCTCAGTCTGAATCTCTTCTATACCCCCCCCCCGACCCTGAAAAGTTATGTTTCTGGATTAGTTCTCAGAGATGTAGTCCCAAAATGCCACTATTCCAAACTCTGCTTTACCATCCATTATTCAAAACAGTTGGAGAAAACACACACACATAAAGATTCCTTAGAGTCCCTTTGAAACATCAAGATTCCTTAAAGTGATAACCCCACAAAGAATATAGACTAAGAATGGGAATAATATGCCCCTCCAGATGTTGTTGGACTACAAGTCCCAGCATTCCTCATGAAGAATGCTGGTAGTTGCAGTCCAACATTATCAGAAAGACTCCATTGTCCCACCCCAGTTTAGACAAGCTTATGCAAATATCAGAATGATTTGAATTTTCTTGTTTCTGGTTAAGCTCCTGATTATTATTTCAATTTTTGATTTTTTTTGTATTTGCTCTTCTAAGTCAGATGGCTCTTAACATCCCAAATCTGACTATAGTATGAACTCAAAATGCAGCTGTAACAACAGACCAACTGATTGTTATTAACAGAACTCTGCTGGGTAGTACAACTATAACTCCATCCATGCCAAACTTTCTCCAGCCTCCAGATGTTTTGTATTACCACTGCACTAAAGCTAGGTAACATGGCACATCTGTGGAAGGATGTATACAAAGTGGACCACAAAAATTATTTGTATTTTTCAAAGTTTATATTCCAGGTAGCACAATAGTGGCATGATGGGTGGAATAAAAGAATAATCCTCAGCTTTTCCTTCCTATGTGGACATCCTCACTAGATATTCCTTTACTGGAGGTTTCTGGGAACTTCTGTGCTTTAGGGGATATTGCTATAATGGGGAGATTGCAAATACTCATCATCTATAGAACATTACACTGTCAATACACAAAGCACATTCAGGGCTAAAAGGATGCAACTCTCAGTGTTGCAATCTGGACACTTCAGTTTATGAGTTGTACCTAATTATACTACATAAATGCAATATATGTAATAATCTATGATAATTACATTGGATGATTGCAAATGTCCAGTTTATGCATTACAGTGTTTTCATTATGTAAATTACATTTAATCAAACTGTTGCAGATTTGGAAGTGCAAGCATCTTTAATGGCAGTGGGGGTGTCCAAAGATCAGTATAAATACCTGCACCTCACAGCAGGAGAGCATCATACTCAGCTGAAAGTCTCTGATCATCTCTGCTGAGGTCCAGGTAAAGAA